TTAAAGTATAATATCTTTTTTGTACAGCTGTTTAAAGCTAAACTTTTTTCATCTTTGTTTGTTTTTATGGGCCATTTAACCATGGAGTCTACATGCATTTAACGCTAACAATAAATATTTTCACTCTTAAGTAAATTTTACTCATTTTTAGCATATTAAAACCACTTTGTAACCGTAAATAATTTTTATTAAGCTAAGAACTTTTTAAGGTTCATATTGGTATAAAAATATTGAAAAATGACATAATAGTATATTATGTATCAAGTTTGATAAACGCCATTTTATAAACGAATTTAATTTAGGCACGAGCGAGCTTGCGAGCGAGTGCTTAAATTAATGAGTGTATAGAAAAGGTTATAAACGAGGTGCATACTATACTTTTTCTACGACAAATACTTATTATTATCTTAAAATGATTTAAATCAAAAATTTGTATAGAGCGCCATCTATGAAACAATAGGGGAATCTGTGTGTCACAGTCAAATGTCAAATTTTTATATTTTATAAACACAGATTATAAAGGTTATAAATCGAAATGTTTTTCTTGAAAATTGATAGTTTTTCACAGTAAAAATAAAGAAAATGTTTTATGAGCACTTTACAGTGGAGTCCGTGCCCGAATTTAAGTTATAGTTTACTGCCGGCGAAATTAAAAGGTCAGTACAATGTTCATATAAACTTTTTAAATATTGGCGTTGAGAAACTATTTAATACTTTTGTATTTTTGTATTGAGATAATAAAATAATTTTCACATTTAGTATTATTTTACAAAAAAGGTACTTTATTTTAACGATTGTATGACATTTGATTAATATTTTAATCGTTCAAATTAAATGATTTTTGTAGATCATACAAAATCTATACGCGTAAGTTGTCTACATATGGGAAACCTTTTTTATTATTCATTATACAAAAAAAGTACTATTTATAAAAAGTTTTGCTTCCTCAAAAAATAATATTAGACTATTAAAACGTAAAATAGCATGTACCTACAGCATGTTCATAAAATAGGAAAATGTATAATTGGCCCAAGAAGAAAGTACCCTTAATTTTTATTTTAAAGCAAAATGAAATAATGACATGTTGCTTAGAATTTCAAGTTTTATCTAAGTTTAAATTAAAATATATCTAAGTTTAATAAAAATAATATTAAAACTTTTAATTTAAAACAAAACAACTCGGAAAAAATAGGGAATAATAGAAAGATCTTTTGTAGTTATTCAAACAATAAATAGACAGTTTTCAGAAACTGGTCTTTTTTTTATTTAATTTTTTAAACTTTTAGTGAAATTTTTTAGTCGGAAAAGTAAATAATAACAACTTGAAGAGAAATTTAAGTCGTTATCGCCATGTTTGATAATTTTGTTTTGTTAAAAATTCTTTGTAGATCATAAAAAATTGATTGACTTAGTAAAAAAAAGTTAATTTAGAAAATAACCGACACCCTAATATACATGTATGCATACAAAAACAATGTAATAACTAATAAAAGATCGCGTAAATTCTCAATTACCCAAGCAGATACGTTCTTACCACATTTTAATTTTCATATTTCCTGTCACTCCCATTTTTTACAGTTTAAATATATAGATATGTTCTTAGAGATAAAGGAAATACATAATTAGTTGATAAATAGAAAAACACACTGACTTTTTATGACGACAAGTTTTTCAAAAAGTAAACAACTCGATATTAAAAACCTTTAGATTTTTTTACAGTCATCCTCTTTACAAAATACAAGGCCTACTATGTCAGAGTAAATTTTTACTACTTAAAATTTTTCAATAAAATTTAGTACAGGGTCGTTTTAATCGCTAATATGAATTCTAAAAAAATTACTCTTAAAAACTAACATAGTATACTATAGGCCTTGTAAACAAGGCCTACAAAATATATTTTGAAAAAATATGGTGTTTTTGGCTACAAAAATATAGTTTATCAAGATATACACTTAAAAACAAATCCACAATAAATAAAGATTTTACAGGGGTGAGTCGCAAACAAATGGGTCAAACTGTATATATATCTCATGTATAAAAAAGGTTTTATTTATTGGTATTTAAATAAAATTATTGATTTAAATAAATTTTGATGCGTTTTTACACCGATCTATAAATTAAGCTGCGCTAATAACAAGGTTAAACGGTGCACCATAAAAACTTTATTTATGTAATGTAGACACGCTAGTACTAAAAAAGTTTATTAATATTAAAATCGATTATTTCACTTAACATATTAAACATCAAATAAACTAAACAACAAAAAAACATTATTTCCCAATGCGTTTTAACAAGTTTTTCAGTATTGTGTGGAGTGATTTTTCTACTTTAACTAAATGCTATAAGAAAAGACGAAGAAAAAATCACCGGGTATTTTGTTGCATTGAAAATAATCCACGTATTGTATGCTCTACGTTATATCCCCAGGTCTTATGTACTTTAAGGTAACATATATTAAAATATTTTTAATTATTTGTATTTTTTCATAATTTTTAAAAAAATTTTTAGGTTTTTAGTTATTTTATATTACATATTATGTAATATAAAATAACTAAAAACTTTGAAAAATTATAAAAAAAACAAATAATCAAAGATACAAATCCTTCTTCTTAAAGAATTGTTTTTATAAAATTGTGATCTGTCTAAAATATACAAATACAATACAATGTATACAATCAAAATCCTTATTATTTTTATAAAATTACAACCTGTCTAAAAATACATACAGTGAGACTCACCCCTGTAAAATCTTTATTTATTGTGCCATTTTAACCGGATTTGATAAACTGTATTTTTGGAGTAAAAACACCCTTTTTTACAAAATAGAAAGCCTACTATGTCAGTTTTTTGAGAGTAAATTTTTAAGAATCCATATTAACGACCCTATAGGGTATATATACTAAATTTTATTGAAACATTTTATGTAGGAATGATTTTGTAGCTAAACTGAAAATGCACAATAATTTTACAAAAATTTATTCCGTCAAGTTATCCATAAAAAACATTAAAATAAAATTAAACTAATAGTAACATAGTATAAATATTTTTAAGCTTAGTTTTAACAAATAAAAAACGCAATAGAAACTTAAAACAACAATGAAACAAAAAATAAAGCATTCAAAAAATTCTCTAGGATTAGATTTTTGGTCACCTCGCCTCTACTAATCCACCATTTATACAATTTCATATTTGTTCTGGAGTAATGGCTGCGCTGGCTTGACAAAATATTTTTTTGTTATTGTTCATTTTTAATGTGGCTTTAGAAATTATAAAAATAAATGTTTAAAATTATTAAAACATCCAAAAAAATATTAAAATAAGCATTATAAAAATATTAAATATTTTAAAAATTATATTAATATTTAAATCTTAAAAAAGTAGATTATATTATAAAAAATGACAAGAAAATTTAAAGTTTTGAAGGTAATACAAAAAAATTACAATAATTATAATTTTAGGTAATAATTATTAAAATTCATTGAAGATTTATTAAAATTTGATTTTTTACTTAGGAGATCCAAAACGAAAAGTTAGTCCTATTTAATTTTGCCCTCTAAATTTTCTTATTTGTTGGTTGATATTTTTCTTAAAAAATTTTAACACAAAAATAGATATAAAAAAATAAAAAAAACTTGTCAAAAACTATAAAAATCTTGAATATAATATAGTGATGCAACGGTTTCGGGTTTTACGGTTACGGTTACGGTTACGGTTAGCTCTACGGTTACGAATACATTCACGGTTATTCAAAAAAAATTACAGAATTACGAAAAGTAAAGTTTATTGTTCAAAATGAAATTAATACACACGTTCAGTAAAGGTTAAATAATAATTTATGTAAAACAAAAACAGAATTTCTAATAAAACTATAAAATAAAAGGAAATGAGTAACATTTTTAACCTAAAAATAGTAAAGTAAAGTAAGTAGGTACCTACTTGAATAATATATTTAAAAAAATAAAAAAATTAAAAGTTAATATTCAAAATTTACGAGTCAAATTTTTATTTAAAAAACATAACATCTGCAAATTCTGCGGAATCAGCATGTTCCTATTTGGTGTTTGCACAAGACCTGCAGTCAAAAACAACCTCTCCGAATTCACTGACAATGGTTTGTATGAAACGTGTAACACGTTTTCCAGAATGTAGACGGATTTGACGTATGTGGTATATTTGGTAACGTTAAATACTCTTCAATTTTCTTTTTAAATGCATTCACAAAGTAGCATGAAAAACCGTAAATGCCGTATACGGTTACGGTTAACCGTATAATATCGAAAACCGTGAATTAACCGTAACCGTAACCGTAACCGTTGCAACACTAATATAATACAAAAAAAATCATAATAATTATAATTATAAAAATTCATTGAAGATTTATTAAAATTTGATTTTTTACTTAGGAGGCAAAAAAATTAGTCCTTTTGAATTTTGCCCTCTAAATTTTCCCATAATATAAACAGTGTTTCTATTCAAAACAAGGTAATAAAGGTTGTAGATCTGTCGAGACTAAAACCTTTTCAAAGAAGAATTATTTATTTGTTGGTTGATGTTTTAGTTAAAAATTTAAGATATCGAACTGAAAATGTAAAAATGTATTTTTTTTAAATACGACCATAAATATTTATTTGAAAAAGGTGTTATTCTCGATGAGATCTTCAACCTAAATCAAATTATCGACCTTTTTTTTGCATAAACCTCCTTCTTTATCTATGTTGGTTGATATTCTTGATAAAAAAGTTTTACACAAAAATTGTAGATATTAAATTAAAAATTACTTACTACCATAAAAAACGGAGATAAAAAGGTTATGAAATCTACAACGTTTTTCCTTTTAAGTACAAACACCCTGTATAATAATATGTTAAAATAATAAGTACATATAACAAATTATCCTTATTCAAATTATACTGGTTATATACTCAGGACATAATAATAATTTATGTAGATGTAGAAAAAAACAATAATAATTATAATAAATAAAAATGAAATTAACTTACCATGATCCCATTAAGTTGAGGACAACCACCAGCACCCGTCGCAAAGATAGCACCACCATCCTTCCAGCATCACACCGAAAGAAACAACCCTGAACAAACCCTGAAAAAAGCACCGGAACAAGCACGAAGCACCAAACCACCCGAACAAAGGAAAAAAACCACCACGACGACGACGACGAGGAATCGAGCTTGCCACGCACCGGAGCAGAGCACCCGGAGGACGATAATCCTGACGTTTGAAGGTCACGCCGCGCGAGAATCGCCGGAGCAGAAGAAGAGGACGGCGGCAGAGGAAGAAGCAATCAGTGTCAGATATAAAGATGTAGTGAGATGGGGTGGACGTGCAGAGCAGCGCGGCGCAGCCCGCCAGGACCCCGTGCGTGCGGGGGGAGGGCGGAACGTCGTCGTCGCGGATGGTACCTGAGGGGAGCGGGCCCCACGCCGTAGGTAGAGGAGAGAGCCGGCTGCCGACAAAGCGAGTGGGGGACGTCTAATTACCGTCCATTGATTACGGACCGACGCACACTTCTTGCTTCTGCTGACATACACAGTGATTCTTCGACACGGTTTACACTGTTTGTGTTTCTTTATTTCTTGCTTATTTATTGCCCGATCCTGTCAATACTTGTTGATACTTTTTGTTAATTCTCTCTTATAAAATGAAATACGGTCATTTCAAGAGCGCGAAACGCACGAATTACAAAACTGTTTTTATAAAAAAAAATTGTATACAATTTATGTATAGATAATTTATTATATTATATTTTGGATTCAAAATTGAAAAAAATATTCTTCTCTTATTACGTTATTAACGTTATTAACGTAATAAGAGAAGAATATTTTTTTCAATTTTGAATGCAAAATATAATATAATAAATTATCTACAATTTTTTAAAACAAAAAAGATGTATCTTCTCCCGTCCACACCTGTAAATTATTAAAATTATCTCTAACTTTTATAAAATACCTACCTACTTCATGCGTTTTTTTATTTAAGCCTCATAAAAGAAGAATATATTTGACAATTTTGATGCAAAAATAATATATAATAAATTACCTACAATTTTTTTTATAAAGATGATTTCTTGATTGTCCCGTCCGTATTCTTGAAATAGCCGCATAAGTGATATTTTTAATTAACTGAATTTAAACTCGAAAGATATCGATTTGAAATTTTAAAAGCGTTTATAACCTATTTAAGTCTATTTTTCTAAAATATTTTGAAAAAAATGCCACTTCCGGTTTAACCGGAAGTGATATCAACTTTGTTATTTTAAAAGAAACACCCATATATTTTAACATTTTTAAATTCATCATTCAATTCTGAGTAAAATTACTGTACCATGTCCTATACCTAAAGTGAATATTTTTCGAATTATTATTTTTTTTTCGTTAAAATTTAAGAAATGCGCGTCAATCAAAAATAGCCCATAACTTTTTTGTTATCAGATTTGCAAATATAGGGTTGGAATTTTTGGAATCTTAAAACATTGTTTAAAAGATTCCATGTCAATTCTTTAACATTTTTTAACAAATTACCTGAAAAAAACCAGGGCAAATTAGGCCAACTTGAAAGGTTAATAACTTTTTTATTTCAAATGTAACACTTGGTATGTTTTTACATATTCAAATAGTAAATTAAAAACCTTTCGATTGATGTTACTATTCCCTATACCTAAAGTTGATAATTTCAGAGATATTTAACAATTTCTAAAATTTTAAATATTATTTTGTATCACGAAACCTGTGACGGGTGGGTTGACGGTTTCTATCAGAGACTGGTTTCTATGGTTACCGCGTAATTTGTAAAATTTAATCTCGTCAATTTTTCAGGTCGTTATAAACAATTTGTTAACTAATTAAGTGTTTAAAAATTAATAATTTGAAAAATATTCACTTTAGGTATAGGACATTGTATAGTAATTTTATTCAGAATTTAAAAATGTAAAAATATATGGAGTGTTAATTTTAAAATAACAAAGTTGATCTCACTTCCGGTTTAACCGGAAGTGACATTTTGTTCAAATTTTAAAATTTCAAATCGATACCTATCTTTTTTCGTTTTCCAGCAACTTCTAATGAACCACGAATGTGAAACACCCTGTATATATACAATTGTCGATCCAAACGTCAATTGTCGATCCGAACGACAATTGTCGATTAAAAATTGAATTAAAAAAAAAATGTTGTTGGCCCTTCTACGCCTTCGTAGAAATATTACAAAAAAATTACGTGTTATATCTCGGAATTTTAAAATTCCGTTTTATATCTCGGAATTTTAACCCCTAGTCAATGATGTCATTAGTTCGCACTAGATTGTACTAAATTGTAGATAATTTATTTTATCTCCACGCGGTCTATAATTTAAACTTTATTGTTGTCAACATTTGATAAAGAAATACCTTGTTATGGCCTAGGCCGATAAAAAAAATTTATGAGGCAAGTAATTAGTTCGATTTTTTCTCGCTAGGGGTATTGTTTTGACAAATTAATCCTTTTCTAAGAAATTAACGTACTAAACTGGTTTAATTTATTTATAATAAGCACTAATTTGTTTGTTTTACTGTTAATGTTTAATATTTTTCATTAAATTATTGTAAAATTAAATATGAATAATAAAACAAAAAGTGAGGTTAGGCAACCAAGAAAACGCACGATTCTTTTTCTACAATTTAAATTATCTTTAAGATTTAATTTGCTTTAAGTTTTCAGTGAAATTAAATGTTAAACACAGCTTAAACATTCCAAACTACCTATTTTTTTAAATAAAAATCCAAACAAATTGAAATTAGATACCTACCTATTTATTAAACAATTAATTAAATTCAATGTAATAGAAAAAATCCATTTCTACTTAAATCATGTTGCTAAGTATTGTCAAACTATTACTGCTTCTAAAAGCAATAATAATTATTGTACATTTAATGTAATCTTTAGCTAACAAATAAATGAGATTCTAAAAAAGTGAGGTTAGGCCGCATTGATGTTGAATTAAATTGACCTATATAGTGCTTTGAAGATAAAATGTTGTATCCATTCGGCCAAGAAGTGCCTTTTTGTGCTTCGCTCAATTGTAGGCCTCCGCTACGCTTGAGCTTAGCACAAAAAGCCTTACTTCTTAACCTAATGACATAAATAACTAAAATTATATTTTGGCATCAAAATTGTAAAAAATAATCTTCTTATATTTGGTTAACAAAAAAGATGTATCTTCTCCCGTTCACACCTGTAAATTATTAAAATTATCTCTAACTTTTATAAAATATTTCTTGCGTTTTTTTTATTTAAGCCTAATAAAAAAAGAATATATTTGACAATTTTAATGAAAAAATAATATATAATAAATTACCTAGGTACAGTTTTTTTTATAAAAACGGTTTTGTGATTTGTCCCGTCTGTATTCTTAAAGTGGCCTCATAGTAGATATTTAAAAATTAAATTTAATCTTATGCCAAACTATTTTTAATTAAGTGAATTTAAATTTGAAATTTTAAAATTTCGACTTGTAACCGTAACACGTAACAAAATTACGTGTTATATCTCCGAATTTTAAAATTTAGTTTTAAATCTCGGAATTTTAACCCCTAGTCAATGATGTCATTAGTTCATTTTATTTCGTACTAGATTGTACTAAATGTTATATTGGTGAAATTGGCAGAACCAATAATTCATATATTTGGTTTTGTGTTACGAATATTCGTATGGCTGCACTTTAAATTAAATAAATAACAAATATATTTTAAAAAACCTATCCTAAAAAATCAAATATTTGACGGACAATTAAAGGCATTTATGTTGGCTCAAGAACTTTTAAAACAGCAGTGTGCAACGCTGGCAGTGAAATATAAAAAGCCCATAAAAAAGCCTGTGACAGATATAAAGAAGGTTGCAGAACACCCAGTGTGCATTTTTAAAGCTACCATCTGTGGTCAATTTTACTAACCTAAAATTTGTTAAACACATATTTTTAATTGGCTAAATTAAAAATACCATAGGAGAAATTTTTAAATGCATTAAAAATATCATAGGAGATATTTTTCATTTATTTTAATTTTTTAAAATAAGCAGATATTTTTAATTAAATGTGACATTTTTAATTCAGATTGAAAGTTAGGATACCCCTGGTATCCCAAACTAATTCTGTCGCTAGATGGCGCACAACCACAATAGTTTTGCAGCGACATCTACTCCATTGTTAAATGGAATAATTTAAGATAAGTTTCCATCTTTGACTGTTTGTAAGTGTAAAAAGTAACTAATTTAATCGTTTAATCATTTTTAATTTTTGCGTCCAACAACAAATTATTGTTAGAGTTAAATGCATGTAGGCTCCATAGCTAAATGGCCCATAAAAACAAACAAAGGTGTAAAAAGTTTAGCTCAAAACAGCAACATAAAAAAGATATTCAACTAAACTTAAAACTAAAATATTATTAACAACCCGAGTTCAAACCCCGGCTGGGTCAAACAATTTTTAAATTGAAATCTGCCAATTTCATTCGGTAGAATTTGTAGGGAGGTGAAAATATCACAACTAAACGCTCGGACACGTAAACTTATTTTTTGGTCGTAGATTACAAATCCATGCTTGGTTTAGCTGTACCAGTTCAAAATTCAAAGATATTGGAAACACCCTATATAAATTTCAACACCCTGTATAAATTTAAAAAAAAATTAATTGGCTGGGCCCACACATTATAATGGAACTATAGTTCCAAATAAAAAAACAAATTCTTGCAAAAAGTTAATTGACCAAAAGGAACACGTGTCCCTCAGGGACTCAGGGTTTTTTAAGATAATAATTATCTAATTATTATAAAAAATTAGCAAAAAAACATTTTGAATTTCCTAAATTATTTAGGAAATTCAAAATGTTTTTTTGATAATTTTTTTTTATTGAGTATAATTGAGGATATTATATTAATTAAAATAAAAACCATAAGAATGTTGGCACAATTGTGAAGAGGTGAAATATATTAATTTACAAATTATAATATACCAGTATACAGTGCGTCCCCGGATCGGATTTCCTACATGAAAAACTTTTTTAGACCTGATATAGCTAAACCGATCACGGATTTGGAATCTACGATCAAAAATTATGTTTACGTGTCCGAGCGTTTAGCTGGGATATTTCAAAAGTTGAAAATTTACCTACAGTGTTATTAGTGACTGCTTTTTTGCTATGACAATAAATCAAGTAGGTATGACTTAAAATTATTTATTTTTGAATAATTAATATTAAGAGAGTGAAAAAAGTTTCTCAGGAAAAAACTT